TGCAGGTAGGGATTCTGGGATGACCAGCATCTGGATCCGAGTCATGGAATCCCATTTGTGCAGTGGGGTCCTGGAAAGCATTGGAGACAGGTCAGTCCACCACTGAGAGGTTCAGTGGACTCTCAGGAACCTGGAACACCTGTCATGAAAGACCAAAAGCCATAGATGTAGGGCATGGGGAGGGCTGGTGGCAGGAAGAGCATCACCAGGGATTTGTTCTTGCAACATCAGGGGATTCCTGTCGTGAAACTCCGTGTTGCTCTTGCAGCAGTGCTTGGCCATAGGGCAATGTTTGTTAAGGTCCCTGGTTTGTGAGGAAAAGGGATGGTTAAAATTCAGCCCTGTGAATACAGCAGTCTCCAAGGATGAGAGCACTGTTGGGCAGTGGCGTTGGAGCATAGGGAGCTTTTGGGGCCCAGTTCTTTGTTAGCTGTCCTGGGATTTGTTAGCTGTCCTGGGATCCTGTTTGGTGGATGAGCTGTTTGCTGCTCCTGTGGCAGGAGGCTGGCAGTGGCTGTGTGGGAGGGAGGAGGGCCCAGCACCCGGTGTACTTTGCCCAGGACTTTAGCATAGGTGGCTTGGGAAGCGGGATAGAGCCTTTCCTGTGCTTCGGACCTTCCTCGGATCACGGATTAGTGCTGGGGAGAGCAGGCATGTAAGTGGGGAGTAGAAAATGCTCAGGGGTCAGACCTTCCAGGGCTTTGTCCGGCTTGGCTTTCTGGGTTGGAAACCAGGGACTTTGTGGGTGTGCTGAAACCAGTTTTCCTTGTCCTGCCTGCTCCTCTCCCAGGATACCTCCCTCCTTCTGCCAAGGAGAGAGGTGCTTCCCTGATGGAAAACTTGGGGAATCATCATCACGGTGACAAAAGAAAGCCTGTGACCCACATCAGGCTCAGCTGGGTCCCCTCTGAGGGATTTGTCACTTGGGATGGTGGTCATAACGGAGTTAAAACTCTGTTTAACCTTCTTTAAAGCACCCTCAGTGTGTCCTTTCCCTGAACGTGCCTGTGCCTGCTTCCCTCTTGGGGCTGGGTATGAGGAAATGGAAGCAAATGCTGACATTGCTTAAATATCTCAAGTTCAGTGCTTTTATCTTACAAATAAAATAATGCTTTTGTTGCTTTTCCTTTTAGGATGTGCTTTACAAAAACATTGCTTGTGTTAATGCAGAAACAAAGCTTCTGCAGCTTTACTGAAGCCTACCCTGATCTGGGAGGAAAATGCTTTGCTCTGTTGCTTTGTGCAGACTAATAAACCCTTTTGACTTGCAGATCTCTTGCCCCTCTGAATTAAGCCTTGTATGATGCAAATCTCCCTTTCAGTTACCCTTTTGCTTGTACCTTGATTTTGAATCTTTCCTTTAGATCACGGCTTGCATGACATTTTTCTTTCTTTTCCTTTCCTTTTGCTGTTTGCAAAGACTCTTGGGAGGATTTGACAGATGTGGTGGAGCAATTGCGCGATGATTCCGAAGGTGCGTTCCACACATCTCACCCCTCTTGTCTGTGCCCATCATTGCCTTCTGCCCTGTCACTCTGAGCCTGAGTGCAAAATGCACTTTTCCTTTCCAGAGCCAATAGCTGTGCCTTTCTGGCCTTTTCTCTGTGTTGCTTAAAATAAATGTTTCAAAGTGGGTTGTTTTACTATTTGTACTCGAAGGGGAGGTAGAAAAAGTGAATCAACAAAGGCTAGTTACCTTCTACTAAATGCATTCAGAGGCAATGTTTTCCTGAGCCTGACAGAAACACAGCCTAAAAGATGGCAGCAATATAGGGAAGCTGAATTAAAAGAAATAAATTCAGAAATAACCCTGAGGATTCAGATTTCCTCAAGTATTTATATTTACCTACTCGAGGCTTGACAAAAGTGACTCTAGAACTTGTAATGCAAAATGTGCATTAAAACTCGTGCAGTACTAAAAGGGAAATTTATTTACGGTGTTGTTTCTTGCTCGATTCCTAAAAATGGTGTGAATGTGAAATAATTGAATCCCCAATTTAGGGAACAGTCAGGCAAATTGTTAATTAGGTGAAATGCTGCTGCTGCTGCTTGGGGTTCAACTGTTTGCAGCACAAAAGGCTGATGTTCTGATGCACTGAGTGCACTGATCCCTTGCTGTCACCCTCCGTGGATGGTGCCTTTAACTACTGTGCTGGTTCTGTGCCTGGGCTCTGCCTGGCAGCCTCACAGGCACAGCAACTTCTCAGCCACTGGGAATGTTCTCCTCTCTCCTGGCACAACAGCCCATTCTGCTTCCCAGCCAAGGGCATCTCCAAGGCAGGCTTTAAGAGAAAGATTTGAGACTTCCTTTTTTTTCATAAAACATTGTGCTGATTTTTGTGTTTATTTTGTCAGGTGGGATGTTTCTGTCCCTGATATTTCAGGTGGGATATTTCCCTGTCATACAGAAGCAGCCTTGCCAAATGTCAGGCTGCTTTCAGTTGGTGTTTTTGCTGTACGATGGATTCAGTACCTGGAGAACCTTGCTGAAATGCAAATGAATTGGCATTGTTTTCAGCAGGTTTGTTCACTTCTCCAGTGTTTCATCACTCCCTGCCTTTGATCAAAGTTACAGCTTTATTTTAGTTTATTCTTCATTGTTTTAGAGTAAGTCATAGAGGAGTGATAAAATCTATTGTCACCAGCAGAAATACTGAGACCACAGTCATAGCTTAACTCTTTGAGGTCCTGTATTGCATTGACTTTTGCCTTGACTTTGAGGTTCTTGGGTACAGATTGGACCTTTCAAATGAATTACAGGATTTTTTTGTGCTTTTGAAGACATCTTCAGGAAGCAGCTGGGTAGAAAACATGTCTGTTCTGTATGAGCTGCAATATTTAAGCAGCAAAGTGTCTTGAGAGTTTAATTCCTTCCTTTGAAACCCAAACCCTGTGGAAAGGCAAAGTTCAATGGCTGAGGTTTTACTTTTTGAGCTTTATGACACGGAGTGTGTAGGATAACCCAGGTAGAGGGTTTTCATACTCTTAAGTTAATTGGTCTGCAAGGTGAGAATCTTGGATAAGCTGCGTATGCAGAACACAATTGCTCACAGCAGAGTAATGAAACAGAAACCATTGATTAGTGTGATATGACAAATATTTTTCAATGCAAATGAGTTAATAATGGCAGCCAAAGGGGTGTTTTCCATGTGGCTGTTGTGCACAGCTCCTTTAATTCTACATTAGGGATTGATTTGCTCCTAGGTGGAGTCACTGTGGAAGCCTGACTTGCTGCCCATCAGATCAATGACCTTGGCCAATGAGGAACCATGATTAGAGAGGATGAGGAGGAGGAGGGCTCTGTGTCTGATTTTGCACTATTATACCTGCCTTTCTTCCTGAGTCTCAATTCCCAGTGATGGTGACTGTCAGCTAGACTGCAGGTCATAAAAAGGACTGCAAATCCAGAACAGGTTGTCTGCTCAGTGTGCCAGATTCATCAGCTTCAAATAGTAGCTCACTCACTGAATTCAGTCTTTGCACAGTGCAGTGCTGCTGTGAGCATTGCATTCCTACATGAATACTTGGAAGCTCTCTAAACGTTGTGAATGCCCAATCTCAGCCTTTTTGTAAGGTGTGAGCCAGGACAGTCAGTGCTTGGACAGGACACAAATAGCAAACTAAAACCCTCAGGGGGTTTGATGGCTTTGCTTGTTGGCAGGAGGAGTTTGGGAGGAGACAGTGGAATAACTGGCCGTGTTTGCCATTTCTCTGAACAAGGGGGCATTTGTCCATGGCAGCAGATGTGGCCTGGAGCACAGCTGGGCTCGTGGCTGTCCATTGATGGCAATTCCAGCTGGCTTGGTGCTGTCTGTGCACTCCCTGCTCCAGCACACACCTGCCCTCCTTCAGCTGCTCCGGGTGGTATACCTCCCGGCGTGGTTTCAGGCAAGTTTAAGGAAGGAGACATATGGTGCTGCTTCACCCTGGAGAATGAGGGGGACGAGAGGCCTTGTCCTGAGCTGCTTTTACAAAGCCTGAACAAAGGGGCTGTGGTCTCGGGTTTGGATGGCACAGCTGCCCCTGCCCTGCACTCTCCCTGGGCTGTGGAGTTTTCCCAGCCCGCAGTGATGTGCACTTGGGTGTGGCTCTGTAAGGTGTGCTCCTGGCTCTCTTTTTGGCTGGGGGGTGCTGACAAGGTGCCTCATGCTTAGATCTGTACCCTTAGGTTTCTGCTGCCAGGCGTAGTTTATTCACTTGAGAAGGTGGAGGTTGTTTCTAGCATCTGTGGCTGTTTCCAACAGCCTTGGATAAGTGGGCCTTACAGGGATGAAACTGCCTGTGCCAGGGAACTGGGGCTCAAAAATTGGATGTGTGTAGGAGGTGTCAAGGTCTGGATGTTTATAATGTGGTAGAGGAAGAATATAGTTCTGGGAGACCTGTGAGTTTTGGGATTTAGAAGGAGCTGTCAGAAGAGCCATGAAGATCTGCTCCTTACTGTCAGCAGTAAAAACCAGTGGTGTTGATAAAACAGAGATTAGTGGGAATTATAAACAGAGATGAAGTGTTACAGCCATGTTGTGGGAGAAATGCGAGGTGGGATAGAGATACATTGCTGGATTAAGTGTGAGCAGGTCCATGGTGATCTTTAGATGGAAGAACAAACCACAAGTGGAGGGTTCTTACCAGTTTGTAGCTGGGGATGCGAGCTGGAAGAAGTGACAGCCATAACACATTGTCATAGTGTAAAGCACAGGGTTAACAGTAGGCTTCAAACTTCTCCTAATGAAAATTGGGAGCTGCTGTAGTTACTTGAAGTACTGAGGCACCCTCAGTGTGATACATTGTCTATTCCTATGTCACTGTAGCTTTGGCCATAAAATACTAGGTGCTGTTTGTTGATTTTTCTCCACAAAAGGCCTACAGAATGCCTCGTGTGAAAGTGTCACGGCCCCAAAAATGTCCTCAAAGCTGAGGAACAAAAGGAGAAAGGTGGGATGTTTTAGTGTAATAAAACCAGCTTTTGTCGCTCAGCAGAATTTTTCTTCCTTGTTTAACAGACCCCAATTACCTCATGGCTAACGAACGCATGAACCTGATGAACATGGCCAAACTGAGCATCAAGGGGTTGATCGAGTCGGCGCTGAATCTGGGCAGGACACTGGACTCGGACTATGCCCCTCTGCAGCAGTTCTTCGTGGTGATGGAGCACTGTCTGAAACATGGCCTCAAAGGTAACTGGCCTGGGAGAAGTCTTCGGGGCTGTTGGTCGTGGCTGGGGGGACAAACAGCAGTTTTGGTTTAAAAACCTGCAGGAGAATGAGGAGAGGCTAAGCAGGGTCACTGCTGTGATCCCAGTGGACCTGGCGGGCCACAGGAAGGGAAGAGAACCTGGGGGAGGTGGAACATTGAGGTGCTGTAGGTTCTTGCCATGTTTGACACAGCGGTTCAGATGTCTCGGGTGTAACTCAGTGATCAGGGGTGAAACAAGCTCTCAGCAAACTCATGACTCTTTTCTGCACTTCCCCATGCTTTAGGGACATGGTCCCTTGCTGGAGGAGGAACTGCGACCCAGAGGTCTTTTTTCTCAATAGCTCTGTCAAACCTGAGGGTTTGAGCTGTGTGCAGCTCATGGCTTGAAGCTGCTTTTAAAGCAGAGCATGTGTTTAACTGTACAAGAGTCACAGCTCAAATTGCCGAGTACCAGACTGTTCGTCGGGTGCTGTCCTTGCCTGCTAGTAGGTGAAGATGAAAAGCAGAGGGGAGTGGAACCAGGTGCCTTCAGGGCCCTTCCCACCCAAACCGCTCTGGGATTCCATGACACTAAATGCCTGCCCAGCAGCAGTGGCCCCAGAGGAACCTTTCTGGCAGCTTTTGGCTACTGTTTGTGTTATGTCAGCATGGGCCTAACAGCCTCATTTTTTGTCTCTTCGTTTTCTAGCCAAAAAGACTTTTCTTGGGCAAAATAAGTCCTTTTGGGGACCTCTAGAACTAGTAGAAAAACTCGTTCCTGAGGCTGCAGAGATTACAGCAAGTGTTAAGGATCTCCCAGGGCTGAAGTAAGTACACTCTTTTATTGCATGAATACATAGTATGGTTTTTATTGTGAGAAGGATCCTGAAGAAGGGAAGGAAGGGCAAACAACTTTCAGGAATACATCTACCACCTGCTGTGATTTAAATGGATCATGGCTCACCTATTCTTAACCAAGGATCTGCAAGAGGAGAGGACAGGATATTTTCTTGCTGTGCTAAGAGCATGGAGACTTATGGACAAGAGTGCCTATATTGCCAGCACTGAAGGAGTTATGATGTGTCAGGCATGGGAACAGCCTTTGCTGTTCATGAAATCAAACTGCAGAGGATGGGAATTAACAGGAAGGTCATGACAGGTTAAATAGTTTTGAGGCTGATGTGTGAGATGCTGAGGGAGGGTGGGGCTATTAGAGCTGATGGTGACTGTGCCTTGCAAAGTGTCTGGAACTGTTTGTTTCTGGCCTTTGCAGGACACCTGTAGGCAGAGGAAGAGCTTGGCTTCGCCTGGCTCTCATGCAGAAGAAACTTTCAGAGTACATGAAGGCCTTGATTAACAGAAAGGATCTTCTCAGGTGAGTGCTGGGCTTGCTCTCAGGTTGGGTTCACTTCTGCTGTCTTTTAAGATCTTGATCATCTTTGCCACCAAATGGTGAAGTATATGTGTGCTTTTTTTGAGAAGGGGTAACATCTGTGAAATGCAGAGCTTCCACTTAGCTTCTGAATTAAGCAAGAACACTGTTGTATCTCCTCTGTCTCAAATATACCTTAGAATTAATGCAAATTTTGGTTCTAAAGAGGTGATTGGGTGAAATATTTGCACAGAGGAGATACAGCATTGTCTCACTGTAGAAGCCTGGCCCTGGGTTGATTTCTGACCTTGTCACTTCATTCCTACCTGACTTGGAAAAGCCCCCTCACTTGTCTCTCTCGCCCGTGCCCGGCAGTGAATTTTACGAGCCCAACGCGCTGATGATGGAAGAGGAAGGTGCCATCATTGCTGGCCTCCTCGTGGGCTTGAACGTCATCGATGCCAACTTCTGCATGAAGGGAGAAGACCTGGACTCCCAGGTACTGGGGATTCACTTGATGGTTTTGTTCTGCTCCTTTAAATTGGAAAGCTCATTAATTTTGCACAGCTTACTGGTATAATGGATCACTGCTCTAGTGCAGCAGTATGATGTCGTAACTCTAAACTGTCACAACTGGAGACAGTGGTTTTGTCTCAGAAACCCAGCGTTCAATGTAAAATGCAAATTGCTTTTTCTCTAGGTTGGAGTGATTGATTTCTCCATGTATTTGAAAGATGGGAACAGCACAAAAGGCAGTGAAGGGTAGGTGCACACACACAGTTGTCCTGCTGCTCCTCTCTTGGGAACTTGTATTCAAGTATTCCAGGTTGCCCTGTTTCTTTTTTTCCAGAGATGGTCAGATAACTGCTATTTTGGACCAGAAGAACTATGTGGAAGAACTCAATAGACATTTAAGGTAAGACATGATCTGTTGGCTCTTTACTATCTTGTGGAAGAAAAGAGAAGATGGGATTTTGAAAAAAGAAGGAATTACTGTAGGGCTTTTTCTCTTCAACAGTGCTACAGTAAACAACCTACAAGCCAAGGTGGATGCCTTGGAAAAATCCAACACTAAGCTGACTGAGGAGGTAAGTGTGATGGAAAATCATCTGATGCTTTGGCCTCTGGGAATCAGGGAGTAGTAACAAGGGAGGGAGGAGTTTATTCACATTCCTGGTGTACTGAATGATGGGAGTTTAGTGATGGAACTGGAATAACTCACCTGCCAAGCAATGTCACTGGCTGTTGCTACTGAGCACAAGGTGGAAAAACAACCATGTGTTTACGTAAATTTGCAAGAAATAAAAGAGTGTCATTATAGATAAAATATTTAGTCTGAGCATTACAAATGGCTGGTACATGAGGCATAGGTACAACCTGTGGTTTAAAATAGATGGTGCAGCTCATTAGTAATGGCATAGATGTAGTGTAGAATCTTTTGGGGTCAGTTCCCTGACAAAATGGGTGACAGGAGGTCTCACCTGAGTAGAATAAGTGGCTTTTGGTTTATTACCTGCACTGTGACGTGGTATCACCCTTGCTGGTGATTTTTTAAGCGACTTTAAACCACTCACTTCATGACAGCAGGACATGAGTTGCAGTGGTGACTGTGGTATTTTTTGGGTTTGGATTATTTAGCTGCTCACTGAAGTCTCCCAGTGTGTGCAAAGTGAGGGTTCTGGTGACACAGGGACACGCTGTGCCAGCCGGGGTGTACTTAATGAGCTGTGTCACATGTCACAGCAATGCATGTTTGGCCTGAGCTGTACCAAGGACTCACACTTGGATTGGGGTGATTTCTGTTTGGGTTTGTCACGGAATAGCATGGCTGATCCCTTGGAATGTCACTGAGCCTTTAAGTTGTGAGTTACAAAGTCAGAAGGAGTTTTCTGAAGTTACTTTTGCTTTTGACTGTACACTTACAGTAATCTGTTAGTCTGTGGTGGTGTCTTCCCTGGGAGTTGCTGTGAGCCAATTGTCCTGTCCCTCAGGGTGGTGTGAGCTGCTCCTCCTGTCTGCAGCCAAATCAGCCTTCTCTGAGCCCTAGAGAGGAGAAAAAAAAGTGAAATACATCTTTGATAGGTTACTGTTGTCTTGTGTTCCCAGCTTGCAGTTGCCAACAACAGGATCATTACACTGCAGGAAGAGATGGAACGGGTTAAGGAAGAAAGTTCTTACATCCTGGAGTCCAGTCGGAAGGTTGGGGTGTGTGTATGTGCATGTGTGTGATTGCTGAGCCTTGGGGCAGGCCCAGCCCAAATTCAACCAAGGAGTCAGTGTTGGGAACACACTTAATTTCCTGGTGTATCTCACACAAACCCCACAATAGATTGGAGTGGCTGCAGGTGGGTCCTGTGCAGAGGGAACAGATGGGCCTTGTCCCCAGGGAATCCTGCCTGGCTGTAGGCATGGAGCAGTGAGCGTGCGTGGAGCCAGGAGCTTCCTCAGTGAGCTCATGGCTCCCTGGGCAAGGTGTCAGGGACAGCAGGGAGGGGGTGGCAGGGAAACTGGGATGTAGTTGTGCTGTTTTGGCCTGAATTGTTGCACATTTGTTTTTCTGATTGGTGGGGAGAAGCAAATACTGAGGAAAAGTGAGGGTTAGCAGTACATGATGCCAAGTGAACTGTCTGTTACCTCAGGTCACCAAGGACAGAACTGCTGACGGGCAGGCACTGACTGAGGCTCGGAAACAGCTGAAGGAGGAGACTCAGCTGCGGCTGGTGAGGACTGGGGGGGTTCAGGGGTCGCCCCAAATGGCTACAGACAGGCCCTGCCACTCAGAGCTGTTCAATACAGTGTGTGGGGAGAAACATGCCAGAGCAGAAGGTTTTTAGGAAACAAAATCTGCCAGCTTTTCCCTAGTCCATTCCGCCACAAAGATGGGCGCATGTAGAATTCCCTGACTCCCTGCCAGCCATGCTGCTCACCTGGCTTTCATACTGGCCTCCATGTGGATTCCTTGTCAGAGGTGTGACTGTGATGCTGGGGCAGTGCAGCACGCTCCTGGGTACGGGTGGTGGGCAGGAGCCCCGGTGAAGGGGCTTCTCCCTGGGTGCTGAGGGGACCTCCTGGAAATGCTGACTGCTCCCTGTGTTCCAGGATGTGGAGAAGGAGCTGGAGGCGCAGATTGGGATGCGGCAGGAGATGGAGCTGGCCATGAAGATGCTGGAGAAGGATGTTTGTGAGAAGCAGGATGCGCTGGTGGCACTCAGACAGCAGCTGGACGATCTCAGGGCCCTAAAGCATGAACTGTCCTTCAAGCTGCAGGTAGGGAAGTAGTGAGATACAGGGGATTCCAGATAAAAGTGAGAGCTCTTGTGCTTTTACTCCTGCCTATTGAAAGGATGCTGGGTGTGGAACGGTCACAGGCTGCGCACACTTGTGCCCTGCTGCAAGAACATTGGAGTGTGGTGGAGGTTAAAGGAAAAGGACATTTCTTCTGGAGAAAAATTAATGATCCAGAAATGTGTGCATGAGACTGGGGAAAGCACCTTGTGTGGTTTTGGGGTGTGAAAATGGAGCTGTGGGAGTTTCTGTTGCAGTACGATCAGGAGTTGGAGGGTGCCAGCTGTAGTTACTGTGTGATGACACCATCTGCAAAGAGCAACAGAATAAATCCTAAAATCAACTTGAACAGGAAACAGTTGCTTCTTCTCTCCTTGAGCCAATGGCTTGGTGCAAAACAGTTGAATGATATTAAGATATTAAATGATATTAGCAGACACTGCGTTATGGATTATTCATATCTAGGAAGCTTCATGGATGATGGCATTGCCCTGTTGTGGGGTCCAGATGGAGCCTGCACCTGTGTGGCAAGACATTTGCCCTCACAATACTGACCTGGCCATTTGCTTTTTGAGCACCTTTTCCTGCCTCTTTGCCTTTTGCCCTGTTGTTTCACGTGCTGAATGATTTATTGGGGCTTATTTGGCATTTACTGCTCCTTTTCCCAGAGTTCAGACATGGGAGTGAAACAGAAGAGTGAATTAAACAGCCGCTTGGAAGAGAAAACAAATCAGATGGCTGCCACCATCAAACAGCTGGAACAAAGGTAAGGCAGGAGGCTTGGACCATGATCAAACGCTGTGTCCTTTGGTGGGGGTGTCTCAGGGACCCAGAATGGGCCAGGGGAGAGTCCGAGTGCTCTGCTGGACAGAGCTGCCTGAGGAGAGCACCGGGAGCAGGAGAGCCAAGCCTGCAGCAGAGGCCAGGCTTGGAGGGGCTTGGGTGTTCCAGATCTCTGGTTTTGGATAAAATCCCCCCAGTTGAACTATTCTCTTGATGATCCTGAGCAATGTGAGCTTGGAAAAAGTACTCCCAGAGTGTTTGGGACCTGGTTAATGAGCAGGGCATTGCACTGCATTAGTGCTCTCATTTGAGGGTTTATATTGGGAATGGCTCCTGATGAACAAGGTCACTGTTTGTAGAAAGTCTCTACTTGAAAATATGTTATGGTACCGACTCAGCTAATTGATTTGCTCTTTTTCTCTTGCTGTTATTATTTTTCCGTTTTCTCATCATCCTCATTCTGACTTATTTATACAGTGAAAAGGATTTGGTGAAACAGGCAAAAACCTTAAATAGTGCAGCAAACAAACTGATCCAGAAGCATCATTAGACATTTTTATGTCTGGCCACCTCACAGCTCTGACATCAGAACTCATTCATGAGGGGAGAACTTGAGAATTGCTAAAAGCAACTGTTAAAATGTTAATTGTCACCTAAAGTTGATTTGGAATTTGCTGAGTTTTTAAAATCAGTGAGTTTTTCTGCCGAGATTTAGAGTCGGGTATAAAAATCCCAAACTTTGCCGTTTAACCCATGTTCAAGTACCAAATGAGTTGGCCAATAAACACCCCAGGAAGGCACCGGGAGTGGGAGATCTGTGGCTCTGCCCACCTGCTGGTGCACACCCCGTACAGCAGCACGAGCCCTCGGCGTGTGCGCGGCTCAGCCGGGATCACGTTGGCCAGCTCGGGAGAGTCAGCTCGTTTTCTGTGTTGCCCTTTTTTGTGAAGTAGATGAGAAAATGCATCCCTGGAAGTTGTTGACAGTAGTTGTGTGTGTGCCCCAAGCCGTTTCCTGTTCAATTCTGTTCTGTGGGTTCAGCCCCGAGTCCGAGACGAGCGGGCAGGACGCGATGGCCCGTCACGGCGAGGACCGGCCCTCCTGTAACCAGCTTGCCTGGATTCTGCCTTAGGGACGTGGTGGGAGGGTGGGGACTTTATCCTTCTTCCTTTAAACTTCATGTGTCCAGAATTAGTAGCTATAGGTGTCTTAGAGTAACACAATAGAGTGGTAAGTTCAGTGGAAACCTCCTTCTCTTTGCATTGCTTCTACCTCTGCCAGGAATCCCTCCAGACACACCCTGCAGTCCTTCCCAAGCTAAGAAAGCTGAGGAGAGGTGTTTTGGGAGGTGTCTCCCCTTCTTAGAAAGGGAAGTTACGTAGTTTACGAAAAATAATCTGACCTTTCTTTAAAAGAAACAAACCCACACAAATAAAGAGGAAAGGAACCCAATGTGCAGCGATGGGGAATGGAGGTGGTAATTTGGTCCTTGCCCTTTCCTTGTTCGAGTAGTTGGTAGTTGAAAGGGAAGGGTGGCCTTTTACACTTGTTTCATTTCCTTCTGAGTTTGCCTTGCTCAATACAAATGGAATTTGCTAAAGGAGGAACAGCTAAAGCTTGGAATCAGCTCGCAATAAGAGAAATAATTGCCAATTTAACACCCCGGTGCAGAACCTGAAGTAACTGTAGCTTGGACTATTATAAACTAATATACTCTGATCACAGAAGTCCCCGTGCTGGCCTCTTGTGGGCTTTAGGTTATAAGCACTCCTAGAGATATTCTTTCATTTGGAAGATCAGATTTGGGGGTTTTCAGTGTTGAATAAGGGTTTTTTTCTCTGGTGAGACGCCTGTAGTAATTCTTTGATGCCAGTTCTCCCTTTGTCCTGTGGGATGGCACTTCTTGGGGCAGTGGGTGGCAAACATGACTGAAACAAGTGGGGAGGGAACACTTTGGTCCTTGTTGGTGTGGTCAAAAATCCATGGGGCTCAGCCTGGTTCCCCTGGATGTGAGCGTGGGCCACCACGTGGCTTATTCCGTGGGCTCTCAGCACAGGCACTGACACAGCCCTGTTGGAAACCTCCCTGCCATGCCCGAGCTGCATGCTTGAACCTATAAACTCACCCTTCAGTAACCTGCTACTACAAACTCCTAACTGCCTGGAGAAAAAAGAATCCTAAGGAAAAGGTGGAAGCTTTGACCAAGGTATCCAAAGAGCCCATTAGTACAGGGAGCCCCCCCTGCCCCTTCCCACAGTTCTGCTGTAGGAACAGGGAGTTGGGGCTGGTGGGGTTGGTGTCAGTAACACTGAAACCAGACAGAATTAAGGATCTGGCTGTTTCTGATGTCAGGCCCAGAGTGGGAATGTGTTGCTGTACCGATGCCTGGCGCTCGAGCCGAGTGTCAATCCGTGGGAGACCAGGAACCTGCACTAATTCTCAATAGAGTAGCTATAACCTATGTTGCAAGTTCCAGTTACCTGTGCAAAGCTGAAATGTAACGTACATTAAAATCCAATTGGACTTTAAATTCTGTGTACTTGAGGTTTGCTTTGGATCTGGATAAAAGTGATGTTTTCTGTTTCTCATCTAATGGCTGTAAACTGTAGTGATAAAATAAAAACCATGGAAAATGAGAGTTTCTGCCTGGTTCACCTCCCATTTTGCTTTGCTTTGAACTGTCTTTCTCCTTTCCGTTGTTTTTACCATTCCCTTTTTTTTTTTTTTTTGGCTTTACCTTTTCACTGGGTTTTTTATTTGTTGGTTAAACTCAGTCTTCCTCCCCACCATGGCTTTTGTTTTTTATCACAAGTTCATGTGGCTCAAATCCAGATTGCGACAGGCAGAGAAGGAACGGCAGCTGGCCCAGCAGGACAACCGGCTCTTCAAGCAGGAGTTTGGGGACAAAATCAACAGCCTGCAGCTGGAAGTGGAAGAGCTCTCCAGACAGCGGTGAAGAGATCCTTTTCCAACCTCTTTCCTGGGCTGTTCTTGCTGTGTCTAATGGAGAGTAGGGAAACAGGGGATGGAGTGGGAGGCAAGTGACAGGCTAGATGCCAACAGGAGTAACCCCCGGAATGAAAATCCTTGGAAAAAGCCCATTATTTAGGCACTGGCATAGGCTGCTGGAATAGTTGTGGATGCCCCATCCCTGGAAGTGTTCAAGGCCAGGTTGGACACGGCTTGGAACAACCTGGGATAGTGCAAGGTGTCCCTGCCCGTGGCATGGGGTGGAATGAGATGTGTAAGGTCCCTATGTACGCAAACCTTCCTGTGATTCTGTGCTAATTTGGGATCTAACAGTTATCATGGGCAGGGATGGAACAGTGAAACCTCTGCCTAGAGCAACCACTGAAGGGTGTGGAGCAGGGGAAGTGATCCTGGTTGTCAGTCTGACACACGCTGCTGTGATTTGTACTTTTTCCCTGGTGAAGCTGCTCTTGTTTTTGCTGGAAGCCGAACAGAGAGACCTTGTCAAGAGCCATCCCATTTTCCCCTGCAGTGTCATCACTCGAGCAGTGTCAGGGACACAGACAAATCCTCTTTCCTTAAAATAGAAGAGCATCTCCTCCTGCAGCCATGACGCATCTGCGGCTTGTTGCAAGGTCACCGGGGTGAATTCTGTGGGGGCATTGCTGGATACACGGGGGGGAGTTGTCCCCTCTCCCCCTCCTGGCCCAGCTCTTTGTTTCCTTTATCACAAAGCTGCAGAGGCTGCTCCGACAAGCAGCAAGTGGCTTTGGTCATGGGTGTCCGTGGGTGAGCTTAGGAGGACACAGGCAAATGGGTCTGGTTTTGCATCAGCTGGATGCCAGATTGTGCCAGAATTAGATGAAGGACTTGGAGATTTTCCATCCTGACGTGTTATGGTTTAACACACTGCGAGACAGCTTGGGATTCCAAGAGGCACTTTTCAGCTCTTGAGTCGGGGGTGTGAAGAGAGGGTTAAACAGTTCATCAGCTCTCAGTGGCAACTGTCCCCGAACCATCCTTTAATCACAATTCCACCTCAATATTCCAGGAACCACCTAGAACTGGAACTGAGGCGGGAAAGAGACAGATGGTGCCACAGTCAGCAGTGTGGCCAAGAACACAAAAAAGGGCCAAAGAACTGGCTAAGACAGGTAATGAGACTTAGGCTCTTGGCTCAGGTTTGAGGTGCAGTTTCACTTGGCTCGTTTGCTTTTCCTGAGCTTTCTCAGGCAATAAATAGGTGGTGTTCATGTGCCACGACCCAAGGAGCTTTGTAAGGGTTTTTACACACACTGAGCAGGCAGTTAGAGTTGTAATTATGTGAACTATGCAGTAACAGACGACTTCCACAGTTGTCATGTACTGCCACACTTGAGTTGCCTTCACTGGGCTCCCTGGGATGCTTCAGTGATGCAGTTCTGTCTTTTTTCACCAATATTACACATAATTCCAGTGAAGTTTAAGAGCCCATCTCTGAAATGTGCAGTCCACTCTTTGTTCACAGCAAAAAGAAAGCACAGAGAACTGCTCCCAGGGGAGATTGGTGCCCAGATACTCCTCTGTGCCAAGGAGGAGCAGACCAGTATCCCAAAATAGCAATGCCAAGTCTCCCCTTGCATGTGGCAGAAGTGAAACTGGAGTTTTCCTCTAGTGTACCTGACGGGTGAATGTTTCCTTTTGGCAGGATGGGAAGGTCAAAATCCAGGAAGAAAATGCTAAACTGAAACAGGCACTGAGAGAGGAGAACAGTGTCCTGCCACACAGGTAGGGAAGGAAACAAACCTCATTTCTGCCTCCTTTCTCAAGTCCTGGTTCCCTTTCTCAGATTACTGTGCTGATGGGGAGTTTGGAATAGTCCAACTTCCCTTTCTGAGAAATATTTCCAGTCTTCGTTGAGAGCTGCTTTTCCATAGCTCTCAAAGGGAAGGAGGAGGTTCTGTTGCTTGCCATCAGCACTTCCAGATGGGAAAGGCTCCATCTGTCTCTAATTCACCTTTGAATTGGTTTCTATTGAAATCTGCTGCTTACTACTTTTTCTGACTCAAGAAACTTTGTTAAGCCAAGTGCAAGACCTTGGGGACTCATGTATTTTTGGTGAGGGAAAGGAGAAGGGTTGGAGGATCAGTGGTGTTTGGAGCTAATAAAGAGAAGCTGTTGGAGAAAAAACTTAAGATTTTTAAGAAGATGGCTGTGTAAAAATGTGGCCTCAGATTGCTTGTGTCCAAGCTGAATATTAGAGAAGAGGATTCTCATTGTAGGGTTTCTTCAGTATTTGGTTTTAAATGTTAAAAGATGTTTTCAAAGCCCCTGGGCACAGCTCGGTGCTGAGGCCTTGGCTTGAGGATGGAACAGCCCATGGGAAGTGCTCTGAATGTCAGGGCTCTGGTGCAGCACACTGAGTCCTGAAGGGAAGCTAATCAGGAAAGTAGCATCTTAAAAATAGCATAAGCTCAGTTCCAGTCTGCTTTGCCAGATACTGAAAACCATCTGTGCCCAAGATGCTTTTTAGCCCTGTTTCACCTGGAATGTTTTAGCAGGTGAGGGTCAGGCTGATGATTTACCTGCAAGGGCTCATGGTGCTTTAGCTGCCTGTTCACAGCATGTGTAGGCATCAAATCTGCAGGCCCAAGTTTAAAGCCAGTTTCAAGCTGTATGGGTACCATCTAAACAGTCTTTCCATGTTCATGCTCCCTCTCCTCGGCTCTCCTGAAGGCATTCTGCAGGTTTTTTGCCTGTTCTTCCCATTTAGGTAGGAGTGCTACTCAAAAATCCATATGGGGGGAGGGTTTTAAAAACCAGGTAAGGCAAATTCCCTGGTAGCCCAGATACTTTATTTAAAAGCTCTGGTGATGGAAGCCTTGTTCCAAGTGACGCTGTTGTTCCCTTGTAGGTCACCAAGCAGCAAGCAGGAAGAACAGGTGAGTGATACTCCGTCTTGGTTTTGTTCCTGTATATCCAATGAACTAAAATCCATTCCTGATTCCCCCGGCTGCCTGGCAAAGCACAGCCAGACCCCAGACTGTCACTGGGATGTTACAGCACTTGTGTTGTCCTGTTCCCTGGGAATTCCTGCCTGTCAGCTCTTGTTTAAGATGCTTAGTTCCCCCCTTGTTGCTGCAGAGCTCTCTCACTGAGTGTGTTGGTTTTGCCTTGGTGTTTAGGAGCAGCTGTTGGGCCCTGGACATGCTGAGATGTGCCAGCTCTGCCAGGAGGAGAGCAGCCGGAACCGAAGAAAGGTAACTTAGTATTGACGTGGCCCACACCTGGTGACTGCCTGCCCTCTGGTTTTTGTTTTGGAATCACAGATTCCTGCTGGTGACTTGGACAAAGAAACGAGCCCTTGCAGGCCTCTCTGCCCTTAGTATAACCTTGTTAAATACTGGTGGCTCCAGGGTTCCCCTCTGCCCTGTTCAGTGGTTTGTTTTTCCTGCCCCTGAGCAGCTTCTTCCCTTTTAGCTCAGTTTTTTCCCTCAGTTAATCTGCCAAGTCCTGAACCTCTCCTTGATTTCTGTGCTTTTCCTGCATTCCAGAACACCTGCAAGAACTGTGGGGGCACCTTCTGTGAAGCCTGTTCAGTACACGAGCTGCCCCTCCCATCCAGCATCAACCCTGAGCGTGTCTGCAATCCCTGCCACCAGCAGCTCATCCAGCAGTATTCCAGCAGCCCCTTGTAGGGAATGGGTGGCAGAGGGGTGACAATGGTTGTAGCTTGATGGTGTTTCTGGAGTTGTTCAAGGAGAACGTGAGGACACTTGCTTGTGTGCTTTGGAGGTTGGAGGGAAGCAGCTTCTTGGTGTTTAGAGTCTCTCGTGACTAAAGCAACATTCTGAGCCTTCCCTGTACCAAATCCAATTGTGTTGCGGAGAACTGCATTGGGAATGTCACATGGAGCAGCCCCAGTGTCTGCTGGAGCAGTCTCAGGGCTCAGGGAGCCCCTGCCCAAACCAGAGCTGTGTTTGCACGTGTAAGTTGGGAATGTTCTTGCCCTCACACGTGTGGTGTTGGGCATGTGCTGCTGCTGAGCAAAGGCTCCCTGAAACCCAGCTGGAGCACTGGTATTCCTCATGTCTGGCTGCACTTGAAATCCCATTTCCTTTCCCAGCTGTCTTGCACAGTCTGGCTCATCCCTGGGACCCTGGTACACAGTGTGAGCAGGCCAAGTGAGGCACTAGTGAACATGTTCTACCTGCATTTCCTTGGCTCAGGGCTCTGGCCAAGGGCTTGCTCTGCCCAGGGAAACCCCAAACCAAGCTGTGAATGGTCTGTTCCCCCTCTGTGCTTTAGGAGATGGGCCAAATTCCCATCACGCTCTGGTTTAGGGCCACTTGGATCCACCTCTCCCCCTTGCGCACATGGAAACATTGTGGCCACAAACCTGGCATTTCACTTTTTGTTGTATCAAAATAAAATGGGAACACTTTTCACCTTTACCAGTTGTAATTGCAAACACAGTTCAGAGAGGTTTCATGGTTCATTCTTTGTTGCTGTTCCCTCAAGGAATTTTGTTACTCCAAAGAGCGGTGGTGGCTTCCTTGTGTCACAGGAGTGTTCACTCCTTTTCCCACTGGCACCTCCTCCAGTCTCAGACCAGAGAATGTTCCACAGTCCATAGCAAATGGATGCATTGATGTGACAAATGCATTGGGGTTTGTACAGATGTTATTAGGGCTTAGTGGTTAATTCCTTGGAGGGGAATTAACCCTAGTTAATAGTAGTCTTTAGAGTGGCTGGAACTGCAGGAAAAGCTTCTCAGAGCTGAGGTTACTGATGTGGTTGGTGCTGGTTTGTACCAGGAATTATTTCTCCTAGTTCCCTCTAGGCCTTGGTGTGTTCAGCCACCAAACTTACACTCTTGTTTGCTCTTTTCCCCACCTGTGGCAGTTTCCCAACCCCTTTCCTTGCCGCTATTCCTTTAAAGTAGGACAGGAGTTGTAAACAGTGTTGAGATACAAGAAGCCTGGAATTCAAGTGAATTCCTGAATTCTCTGAAGGGATGACACACTGGAGATGGATGGAGAAAACACTGAATTTAGTGTCAGTAGTTTTCTGTACACACTGTGTAGGTCCAAACCAGTAAAATTCTTGCATCCAAGCCCAGTGTGACTCATCCCCCAAGGAGAAAGTGAGACCTAGGCAATTTCCCTAGTAGAGGGAGCATTAAACTGGACACGGAGAATTAAATTCTATGGAGCAGGGAGGTGGCTGAGACCCCTTCAGAGCACAGCACTGGTGGCTGCCAGCTCCCTCTGTGCTCAGGTACTGCGTGTGATGCCAGCGTGGGCTGACACCTGGACACTGGGGTTGGGAAGGGGGGGGGGGGAGCAGGTTTTCTGATGTTAATTTTGTTCCACACAATAAAGAAAACTTGATCATCCACTTCTGGTGTCCTGAGTGGTCCTTCCATCCCATTCCACTTGGGCTGCAGGTCTGAAAGGATTCAGAGCTACACTGTGCACCTGTGTGAGGACTCAGATCACTCAGCTGCTGTCAGTTGTCAATCCTGGTGTTTATTAATGCACCGTTCTGCACCTGGAGCCCAGGACTGCTCCACCCATTGACCATTCCTGCAGTGCAGCTGCTGCTGCTTTTGTAACACTCCCCACAGTCCAGCACATTTATTACATGCTCCTCTTACACAAGGCTAAACTAGATCTTACAGTTTGTGCTCCTTGCTGAGCGCTGACACTTGTACCCGATGTTCACCCTCAGACACAAGGAACGTGTTCACCCGGCCTGATAAAAGGAAGAGGAAAAATAAAAATCCTTCTCTTGCTGCAGCTTAGTGCTTTCCTTTCTCCCCCCTGCCCTACTGCATTTTATTCCCAGTTGAAATTCTATTAGAATAGTACAGGTTGGCAGCAGTAAAGTACCACAGACTCCAGGTGGGACACGTCTGGGGGGGCTGCAGCACATGCACAGAGGGTGGCAGATGGTAAATTCCCTCAGTGCATGGGACAACAGGAGGGAGGTGCCAGGGAGGCTGCCCAGGCTGCAGGTGGGAGGTGGGTGCACATCCTGAACTCACCCCAAGGGCATATCCCTGGCCTGGATTACAAACCTGGGACTGAGGGGGAGAGCTGCCCTCCCTGCCATGGGGGGCAGTGGCCACCACCTCCGACTTTCAGAAGGGAATTAGTGAAAAGCATTGTCCAGCATCTTCCATCAAGGTCACATGAAACCCTGCCCCATCCAAAAGGCCCATTACTGTTAACCCACATCAGTGGAAAATGTTTAGCCGCATTTCCTCTTCCTTGCCAGGGAATACAACCCCATCAGAGCTTTAAATGCTGCTCCTGCACTGTGGGACTGGCACTTGTGGAACCATCCAGGCGGGGTGGGGGGTCCAGGCTGGACACCTGCTCTCAGGTTGAGGGGGTGTCTCCCTTCAGCCACCCCCCACTTTACCCTTTGGGCGGGTTGAAATCCCAGTACCAGAGATCATCAGCCTGAGGCCCACATTGCTAAAAACAGACCAAGAAGGGCAGAGACAGATGCACTTACCAAATCTGAGCTCGTGCCACTGTCATTAACAGTTTTCCTTTGCCTTTGGATGCTCATTCAGGGATAATTCAATGGCACTGCACTCTGGAAAACATGTGAGAGGCACTTGTGTGTGTTACATTTTCTTTCTCTTTTTTTTGCTTTTCTCTGCAAAGCCCACGGCACACTGTTAACTTGAAAATCTACATTTAAGGTGATCCCTCTGCACAGGATGTAACAGCAGCTGGACAAGCTGTGCCAAACTACCTGAGGCTTCAGTCCTGCTGTTGTAGGACCCACCCCCTTTTCCTGACTTACCCATCTCTGACCCCTCCTTCGCCATCGCCGCCACGGCGTCCTCGCGGCTCTCGAAATGCACCTCCACTTCTCCTGTGGCCTCTCCCTGGGAGTTGTATTCCACCAGGATCCTCGTGGGCCTCAGCGGAGCAAAAAACTGAAAAGAGAAAATCTGGTGAGAAAGAAACAGTAATCCAAGTGATGGGTATTAACACATCCCAGCAAGCCTTAATCCCTTCTTATCCACGGAGGGGAGAGGATCCCTGTTGTGCCCCAGAGGCCTCGGCTGCCCCAGGCACCTGTACCCCACATTCCACCTGAAGCCACACAGCTCTGAGAGCTAACACACACAAATAAATCAACAACATGCAGTTGCTCCAGCTGTAACCATTAAGGGAGGGTTTGCACGGGGAATGACAGCCACCTTCCATCCGTAGCTTCACTGTAACTCACATTTATTATGTCTTGGGCAGTAGCTTGGGTAGGGAAACCCCTCATGCGGACACAGTGCCGTGCTGGTGATGATGAGGTGTTCCCAGGCTCTAAAACGCTCCTGGAGTTTTCCGTTTCTCCCCTGTACAATCCTGTGGAATGGAAGGAAAAACCATCGTTAGTGCTTGCAGTTACCCTGCCATAAAAGCTGTGGACGCGTGGGGTGAAACGAAGGGGCCTTGAAGAACACCCACAACAGGGAGGGACTCACTGTTTTCTTCCTGGGCGTTGGAGCCTCTCATGCCTCTCCATCCCCCTTCTTCAGGGAGGGATTCATATTCTCTTCTCATTTTGGAGTAGGTCATCAACTGCCTGTCGTAGGACATGTGCCTTTGCATCTGGTGCTTTCTGCTTACGTACACTTCTATATACCTGGAACGCAAACGGGAAGAGCACGTGGCACACCTGGCTCCCAGGGGCTGGATAAAGCACCTTCAGGATGCTTCCTGCCTCAGCTCTGCTCAGCTACTTGAGGTGAGAGCCCTGGCACGGGAAGATTCCGTGCTGAATGATTCATTCTTTTAACTGTTTTCCCCTCACTGCACTTCTGCAAACTGAATTATTTCTACAAACCCCAAATTAAAAACAACAGCCAGCCCCAAAACAGCTCATAGAACAAGCAGACCCAGAAGACACACAGGGTCACACAGGCTCCATACTTCAGTGGAGCCCTGAGATTTTCCATATGGCTACAGAATTGATGGGATTGCACCAGCAGTGTTATATCAGGCAACTTCCACAGCACTGAAGGAACAGTGTGGTGATGAAGGGAATATGCACAGCAAAGGGAGAGGGCTTTCCCCCCTTCCCAAAGCCAGAGTAGGGGAAGTAACCCCGTGTACAGGCTGGCAAAGCTGACAGCTCAGCTGCCCCTCAGACCCCCACTCTGTACTGGGCACTGCTGGAGGCCAGTTCTGGATAAAACCAGGAAGAATGAATAGGAGCAACTGCAAGCAGTTTTGGAACCCCCTCCATTTCCTGGCTAATCCCATGGAAATGCAGGTGTGTGAGCTCAGGTGGGTCAGTCAGGTCAGCTCTTGTTCCACCATGACAAAGGAAAAGCTAACAGTAGATTCAGAATTAATCTCTACTGGAGAGGAGGGAAGTCTGTTAATTAATTCAATTAATTAATTAATTTCTGCCTACAGAGCAGCTGTCTACTTCTGAGGGGGAGGGGGCAAACACAATGCATTCTGGGAAAAGGAAGCAAGCTGTAAAAAGCAGGAAGGCAGGGGTGTCCAGGAGAAGAGGTAAGGAGAAATCTTTTGTTATGTGGGGTGCAGAACAAGAGTTTTATAGATTACTGAAGTCAGAAAACTCAGCAGGGGAAAGCACTTTTGATTGTTTGGGTTTTCTTTCCTGAGCACAGTTCTGGAGGTTTTTAAAACCTATGCAGGTGTGGTGCTTAGGGACAGGGTTTAGGGCTGGGCAGTGTTGTGGTTAATGTGTGGACACAAAGATCTTAAAGGCCTTTTCAAACCCAAATGACACCTTTATGCTTGGAAAAAACGGTCTGTGCTTCTGCTTGAGAGGAGAGAGGCTCTGGTGAGGTAAGTGTGTGGCAGAGGGCTCAGTGCTCTGGAGTAAAATGGTTAACTTCCCAAGGAAGGAGGGCAGCCCATGGGGATCTGGTAACCAAAAAGGTGGGAGATGGTGTGGTGTTGGGAGGGGACTCACGCCGGGAAACCTGTTCTTTGTCTGGTACAGGGATGAAGGGAAGAGGGCTGGCCAACAAAACTGCCTAAAGCGTGGAGAAACCTGGTGGAAATCTGGAGGGTCACATGTCTGAAGGAGGCAGAGGACTCCTGTGCACTTGGGGCTGGGCAGCCTGTGTCTATCCAGTGTTCCCCTCTCCGAAGGCTGTCAGCCCTTTTTGCTGGGATGAGAAACTCTTCAGGAACACCTAAAAACACCTGAGACTCTTCTCCAAGAGGCCCCGTATTCCCCCAGGCTACGAGGGCTGCAGGTGCCTCTGCTTTCCTTAATGACACTGTGAGTGTGAGAAGAGCTGTTCCACCAGGCAGGAAGGGAATAAGGTGCTCCATAACATGTTCTTCTACCCCCTGGGACCCCAGGGAAGTACCCACCTATTTCCCATATACTCTTTGTGCCGTAACAGGGCTTTAGCTGCCATTTCAGGAGTTGCAAACTGCACAAAAGCTTCTCCTGTTCTTCTGTCTCCCCGATAAATGAAGGCTATGTCTGCTATTTTCAAACCTAGAGATTGGAGGAGAGAAAGAGGCATTGACCTTGGCAGGAACTTGTGCCATAGCTCAGAAAGACTTCTTTTTTCCTTATTCTTCTGGGTTTTGACTGCCTAATCAGGCAGTTAAGTAGTTCTGAAACAACTGCTCATTTATTTGCTTCAAGTTAGTTTTCACAGAAGGCTTAATTAAAAAAATTAAATCAACTTGAGGCTTCAAATAACTGGAAATAAGTAAATGCAAGTTCTAGGGAATAAAGAGGTCCAGAGCACAAATATTCTTGAAATTTTCTCTTATTATTATGGTAGCTCTTCCCCCAGTGAGTTTCAATTTCTGTGCTGTGTATCATCATCTTGGGGAGCCAGGAACCACCTGGACTGCTCTAGCAGTGAGTATGGGACAAAGTCTCCAGTGGTATACGTGATCCACCTATCCTGATCGTGCGGCTGTGAACACCCACACTGCATTCACCTGGGCTGTAACTACCACAGAGGCCTTCCTCCTTCTCAGCTTTGCCAAATGTCCAACTGGTAGCAACCCAATGCCAGATCCCAGCATCTGGCTCCCTCTCCTTTTCTTCCCCTGGCCCCAAGAACTGATCCTGGGTTAGACCTGCACCAAGTCAGAGGTACAGGGAGACTCTGCAGCCTGAGTGACTTCCAGAGGAACACCAACTCCTCGTGGTGCTTAAGATTCTCAAGGCTGCACCTGCTTTGCTTTTATCCCTCTGGGGAACAACAAAGCATCAACTTAAGGCAGTAAATGCCTGGCCAGCGAAGAGCACAGAGCGGGCTGAGTTACCTGTGAAGAAATCCGCAATGTCCTCCTCGGTGGAGCTGAAGGGAAGGCCTCGGAGCAGCACCACTCCATCGTTCATGGCTTGGGATTCATCCCGCAGGCTCCGCATCAAGCCCTCCACATCGCTGTCGTGGACTTCAAACACTGCAAGGAACATGGGCAGGGAACATTGTCCCTCATGGCAGCACTCCGAGGGCATTCCCCTACAGCAGCTTTCCCCCTCTGCAAAGCTCCATCCCGTTTCTTCCCCCACCCCACGCTCTATGGTCCTGCCCCTTTGCTTTCCCTGCCCAGCCTTGGAAAATCTGGATCAACGATGCCTTACTGGCTGATCTGCTGCTCAGTTCCAAACCCTGCACCTCTCCATGCCAGCCCACTTTATTATTGCTAACAAAGCTGCTCTTATTCACTTGGAAGTTTTGTTCCAACGTCACTCGTGCTGTTCCAAACCCACCTTTCACGTAGCGTGGGCCCATGTACCTCAGGTGCTTTTCCAGGGCTCTCTGGACGTCTGCTTTGGACTCCAGCTCGATCAAGGCATCCCCCCTGCGCCTCCCATCCCTGTTTAAGAGGAAGTGCACCCCGTTCTCACCGTTCCGAATTCTACAGCCTGGAAATCAAGGAACAGACCACAGAGGAACATACAGAACTACATCAAACACGGGGGTCTCTTTATCCTGACTACACCACACAGAGCTGATCCCATCCCAGCAGTGCAAAACGAAGAGTGGAACACACCTATTCCTAACCTTGAATCTGACTTCAAACCGACTTAATTTAGTCTGGCAGGTAAGTAAGTAATTCAAAAACTTGGATCTGGCCTCTGGAAGGATGTGGCAATGTATTACAGTATGGAGGGATCAGCCCTGAAGAGGTATGGAAAAGCCTCTGAATTAGAAAGCAACACTCAAGTTTAAACCAATCAGTAAAAACACACTCCAATTTCTTAAAGAGAGGAGTTGAGGGAATAAAGCCAGCCACAATGGTCTGTACAGGCATCACTTTGAATTGGATTGCCTTTGCTGTGGAGACACTAAGAAGGGAAGGACTTGTACAATTAAACATAAAATGCCATAAGGGTGAGCTTCTAGTCGTTGTCTGGCAGGTTGGAAATTGAATACTTGCTTTAAATGTGCCAATTGTGGATATTTTTGCGGCAGTAATAAGACCTCATCTTTCTCTGGCTAACGATCTCTAAATTTTCTTTCTGCTAGGTAATCACGAGCTACGGTTTCAGAGGCAGACAGGACAGTCAGCCAGGAAAACGAACAGCCATACTGTCAAAGAAGGTAAGCACATCTTCCTCGGTGCACGAGAAGGGGAATCCTTGTGCCCTGACGAGGTAGACACCGTCACTCTCTGCCTTGGGCGAGCCGGGCTCCTGCTCGGAGAGGCGACCTTCCTGGGACGGAGCATCGGTGACCTGGCGCCGAGACACGAGAAACCCCCCCGCGTTAAGCGGCGGAAGGACGCGGGTTCCCGCGGGGGCAGGTGCCCGCCCTTCCCGCGGGCCGTACCTGGCTGTAGGTGCGGAGGGCTGCGCGGAGCGGCCCCGGGCGGGGGGCGGCGGGGCCTGGGCGGGCGGGCGGCGGGCGGAGCGCGGGCGGCAGCGGCAGCGCCGGGAGCCGGCCCAGCAGCAGCGCGGACAGACCGCGGCGGGCGACGGCGGCCACGGCCATGCCGGGGAATCGCGGCTCCGCCTCCGCGACCTCCCTTCCCGGCAGGCGCCGCACGGGAACCGCGCGGGGAGCGCTTCCAGGTCACGACGCTTTCCGCTGCACCAGGCGGCGGCGACGCTTTCCGCTGCACCAGGGTGGCGGCATCCCCGTCCAGCCTGGGCTTGGGCACTGCCAGGGATGGGGCAGCCACAGCTTCTCTGGGCAGCCTGTGCCAGGGCCTCACCGCCCTCACAGGGAAGGAGTTCTTCCCGATATCCCATCTAATCCTGCTGTCAGTGTGAAGCCGTTCCCCCCTGTCCTGTCACTCCAGGCCCTTGTAAATAGTCTCTCTCCATCTTTCTGGTAGCTCCTTCAGGTACTGGAAGGCCACAATTGGGTCACCCCAAAGCTTTCTCTTCTCCAGGCTGAACAATCCCAACTCTCTCAGCCTTTCCTCACAGCAGAGCTGCTCCATCCCTCTGATCATCTTGGTGCCTCCTCTGGACTCGCTCCAACAGCTCCATGTCCTTCCTGTGTTGGTGCCCCAGAGCTGGATGCAGCATTCCAGGTGAGGTCTCACCAGGGCACAGCAGAGGGGCAGAATCCCCCCCTCCCCTGCTGCCCACGGTGTGGGATGAGCCAAGGACATGGTTGGTTTTCCAGGCTGCCAGTGCACATGGCCAGGGCATGGCCAGCCTCTCACCCACCAGCACCTCCATTTAGAGTTTCTGTCATCAATAGCACTTTCATTTTTTTTTTTTAATGAAACCATTCGTAAAGGAGAAAAAAAACCCAAACCACAGCCTACTTGCAATATAAAGTTTTAAGTCAGGCTTCAGCATGACAAGGCTTTTACACCCCTTCCCTGGAGAGTTATTGTCTAAGAGAGCTGATTTTCTCCCCCTCACTCCCTTCCCTGCTTGGCAGTCTTAAGAGGCCAGCACTGGCTGAACCTGTTGGCAAGAAACATTCCCCTTCCAGGTGACCTGGGAAAACAGTCCTGCTGTTGTTGCTGCATCTAAGAGAGAGAAGGGGGAAAGAACAGGCACCAGCTTCTTGTATGTGCACACGTGGTGAAGGTAGGTCGTGCTGAACCCAGAGAAAAAAAATTAGCATGAAGCCAAATGAGCAGGAAGAGAAAATGCAAGCCAAAACCCCAGACCCCGACAGTGGAGGAACACAGGGAGGCTCCACAGGCTCAAATCCAAGATACTTAGGCAGGCATCAGAGCAGTTGTTAAAGACGGGCTGTGCCAGCCTGGCACGTGAAGCCCAGTGTCAGGAAGATGGTGAGAGCTATGACAGCCAAGCTATTCCTCTTTTTTTCTGACATCCTGCAGTTTTAGCCTTAGGATCAGCAAGTAGGAGTTGCAATCTCAAGCCATTGCAAGCTATCAAACTCAAAATGCAATCTTGTGTTTTTCAGCACAAGTCTTTCATCTTGCTGTGCCGCCAACACATTCTTTTATCAGAAGCCTTGAATGTTTCTTATCACCCTTTTGAAAATGTGAACAGGCTCCTTCATGTCACCTCCTTGTTGCTGGCTTCTGCTTTTGTAAACTATTTCTTGTAACAAACTTTCACATGACAGACTATAACCCTGATAACAGCACAGCCTCTTGACAACAGCACTCTCAACCCTTCTGAATTTTCAAGGTAAATCACACATTATGCACATTTTCAAAGGAATGTTGACCTCGGTGCTCAAGTGGTTCACATTCCAATTTTTCATAGCCTACTTGTCAGGTTTCTCTTCAAAACCTTCTTTAAATAAGCAAGCAAACATTATAGGAGAAAAAAAAATAAGGTAACTATAGGAATGCATCTTGAGCACTTATCTGTATCTAGACTGGCTGTCGTGCTTTCAGTTTAATTGAATAAGCAGATCCCTGAATCTTAGGGACCAAGGGAACGTTATGTGCATTCCTCTCTTGTGACCCAAGCAGGGTGCAAGGAAGAGTCTCTTGAAGGGATGCAGATCTTCCACCCATTTTACCTTTGATTTATTTGCTTCCCAAGTACAGGAAAAAATACTCACTGATGCTTGTCTGGCAGCTGGTCAGGTTTGTGCAAGCTAGCTTTAGAGAGCACCGTGTTGTTGGGCATCTGTTGGCACTGAAGTTGCCCAGGAGTCTCAGAGCTTCCTTAGTTACATGAGGAATCAAAGCTTCTGCACCTATGATAGGAAAAGAAAAGTCATCCTAGGACAAGAGAATTTGCATTTACTCACTTGACAGAACTGGTGCTGAAGTCTACTTAGGAGAGGGAATCTGCCTCTGTAAAAATAGAAAATCTCAGGAGATGACTCCATAGTGCTGTGGACCAAGAGGTTCAATTTATCTGCCTTGGGAGATGCCTTTTTTGATGCTTCTTCCATTATGTTAAACAGGTTGTTTTTGAGAATAATTAATATATAATACCAGCTACCCTTTAGCCTGATCAGAGAGAAAATTAAAATCTTCTGAGGTGATACTAAAACAGGTGCTTATCTTATATTGGGAAACACTCCTTATCCCTCTGTGTAATTTATCGTTGAGGAAAAACTGACCTTATGTTCTGTTGTGGTATTTTCCAAAATTATTCGTATTTATTTACAGACTGTATTATTTGCATTTCAAAAGAAAATGTTGTTTCCTTTTTTCCCCCATCCCATTAAGTGTTGTGATCTTAATTTCTGAGCTTCTTTCAGCTGGAACGTTCCGTGTTAACCCGGCTGCGCCGAAAAGCTGGAAACTTCAGCTCAGGACCGAAGCGCTTTGTCAGCTGGAGGGCCCTTTCAGAGGAATTCTCTAAGCTGTGCAGCACGAGGGATAAACCGAAATGACAGACGTGGGGCCGGGGGAGCGCTGGCTGTGCCTTTCCCGGAGCGGCGGAGCGGTTCGGCTCTTGCGTAAGCCTGCGCGCGCTGCCGGCCCCTCGGGTTGTCTGAAGGGAGCCCTTCATGTGACCCTCAGCCATCCCAAACGGACCGGTGTTAACGTGAGGCATAAAACCTACTCGTTACGTAACCGTTTTCTCCCGGCCAAGCGTTTCCTGCTGCAGCAAACAAACAGTTTTTTTAATTTTAACTTGCCGCTAGGATAAAACGTTCCGTGGGTAGGAGGAAGCGCATGGGTGGGAGCGGGGAACGCGGGTTATTCGTGTCCCAACGTGAATGTGCCAGAAAGATCAGTGATGTATTTTTGTTTGATTAACGTGGCTGATTCAGTCTGACAGCGTCTGTTAAAAAGTGCCCTAAGACCCATTTCATGCTTCTGCTAATACAGCCAAAAGGAAAATTGCAAGCATCACGGAATGCTTTTTAATTACACCTTTGCTGCCTGGTGAAACACTGGATTTTAAAGGTGTCCTAAAAACAGTAGCGTAATTTTAATTTACTTAGAAATGCACTGACCCGGCATTCTGACTTGGTCTGAAGGACAGAGCCAGAAAGTAGAAAATGCAGTTTCAGCATTTAAAAACGTGAGAGAAGCAGATGACTGTCAGTGTGGCCACGTAAGGCACCCCTGATGTGCCATATAACCTTACTGTTTTGTGGGATTGTAGGCTATTTTGATGTAGAGAATTTGCCTGATAAATCTGAAAGTCATAAGGTTTTCCTCTGGCCTACCTGCAGCAGTGTGAGGTTATTGGGGTTGCTGAATCCCCTTGGGGCAGGAGGGAATCTCAGGGGGTCGTGTAGCCTGTCCTGTGTTCTCTCCAAAGTCCGACTTCTTATTGACCTAAACAGAGGCAGATTTTTGTGTGAAATTACACCCTGGGATTGTAATTTCTGCCATATAAAGCACTGGGATGTGATTAAATCTGCCTGGCAAGGTTTTCTTAGAAAAACTGGACTTTTTTTTACTTCAGCAGTTTGCAGCTGCCCATAGCGTCACCTCTGAGGTGTGGCCTTTCTTTAGCTGACTGCTCACCCGCACCCAGCCCAGTTATAATTGCTCACAAATCACGTACTAGAAATATCAGAATCCATTTTGACGAGTTTCTCTAAAAAAAAAAAAGGGTTGCGTGACGGGAGCAGAAACGCTGGTTAAGACCTTCCTCTTATTTTTCTGACCGTGATGGTGACCTGTGGGCTGGTACCTGGATCCCTTTGTCCTGAGGGCAAGAGGGGGAGGCCTAAGGGGACAAGGGAGGCTCCGGAGGTGCAGGGGGTGCCTGTTTCCAGGGAAATGTCTGAAGGTGGACACACGGCCATCTCTGAGGAGAAGGGCGGCTGTGGAGGGGCAGGGGGTCCCCGTTTCCAGGGAATTGTCTAGGAGGGCACACGTGGGTGTCTCTGAGGGGGCGGCGGGGCGGGATCGCCCCGAGGGGATGCCGGAGGGCGATCGCCGTGCCCGGGGCCAAGAGGGGCTGCCTGAGGGGGATCGCCGTGCCCGGGGCCCTGAGGGGTAGCCCCGGTGCCATGAGGGAAGCGGGAGGAGCGGTGGCCCCGCGGCCGCTGCCGTGAGGGAGGCGGCGGCGCGGGGGCCGCTGGGGGCGATGGCGGCCGGGCGGGCCGTGTCCCCGCCCCGCGGCGCTCTCCCCGTACCCGCCCGCCCTGCGCTGCCATTGGGAGCCGAGCCGCGCCGAGCCCAGGCAGCCGCCGGTCCCGCTCCGCCGCCATCGCCATGAGCTTCTTGTTGTGAGTACCCGCGGGGCGTGTGGGGGGGGTCCTTTCCTCTTCCCTCTGCCCCGTCCCGCCGGCCAGGGCGGAGCAGGGCAGCCCCGGCGAGAGGACGCGGCCGCCGCCCGCCCTCTGCCCGCCGCTCCCCGCCGGCCTGGCTGCCGCGCTCCGTCCCGCTCGCCGCTCTCTCCCTTTGTGCCCCGGTCCCCCGGGGGGCCCCGGCAGCAGCCGCTGCCCTCAGCCGGCGGGGAGCGCGGGGGGGCGGCCGCCGCTGCGCCGCGAGGGCGTTTGGAGGGCGGGCGAGCCGGGCTTCCCCTTCCCGCACGGCTTCCCCTCCCGCGGGGACGCGAGTTCGGGACCGTCCCCGGATCAGCCGGGGCACCTTCCCGGTGAGCGCCGTGCTGGGCAGGCGAGAGCGGGGTCAGGGTAGAACGCCCACCCGAAGGGTCTCCCCTGGCTTTTGTGATGTTTCCGTAATGTTTTCCTCCTTCCCGGCGGGCAGAAGTTGGTGCGGTAGCGTTGCGTGCCCCAGCTGAGTTAGGAGCGGCTGGAGCGTGGAAGTGAATCCCGGGGCAGGTGATGGGGCAGGGGAAGCTCCCCGGCGGCCTGAGCCCCGCCGAGGACCCGGCCGAGCTTTACTGCGGCATAAAAAAAGCTGCCCGAGGAATCGGTGGCAAGTCCAGGTGTGCGCAGAACCCCGCACTCGGCAGTTTTGCTTCGTGGGCAGCAACCGAATGAACTTTGGTCCCTCCCCTTGGGAACAAAGGCGAGGTACTTTGTGACAATTAACATAAACCGGTTCAGTGACCTATTAATTAAGGCGGGGATGCGCTCTAGGGAAAGAAGGGAGACCCAGGCAGCTGAGAAAAAGGCGCCCTGGCAGAGCCGAGCTCCATTAAGGCCTTGGCCCCGCTGAGCGTTCCGAGTTCCTTGCGAGCGGTTAGTGGGACCGTGTCCGTAATATCTGCCAGTTGTTGGAGGCTTACACTGATAACCAGCAGATGTAAACGCAGCCTGCTTTTAGAGAGGAGACTTTATCTCCGAGCTGGAGCCGTTCTAGTGAGTGAGTTGCGTTCTCATGGAGACCAATAACCCCGGCGCCGGCTTCCTCCTCAATCCCTGCCTTGCATTTCTCTTTGGACTCTGCCGCAGCAAACCCGGTCCATACCCCCAGAGAGGGTTTGAAAGACACCTCTCAGCTGTGAGTGGGAGGTGGGTACAGATGATTGTCCATGGATTCAGGCGTTGTGCTCCTAATGAGAAGCCCAGCTGTCCCCCTCCTTCATAATTCTCAGCTGCCGCGGTGGAGAAGGGGGGACAGGATTTCGAGTGTCCTGGGAGTCTGGTTTGCAAATTAGAGAGCCTCCCTCTCCGTGGCATTTGGCTAACTGGGAATGGAAAAGCATGAAACCCTCCACCCTCTGTCACAGGCAATAATGAGATGCTTGTTTCTTTTTCCAGACCCTTCTGAAACCTAGGAAAGCAAACCTTTACCCCCACCTCCATTGTTCCAAGTGATCTTTCTGCACAAAGTATAGAAATGGAAACTGGAGTTGCTGCACGGCAAAGCCAGAAATGTTGGCAAAGCTGCCTCAGCTGCTGTTGGCAGAGTGCTGTAGACAGCACCTAATTTGCTCATCTGCAGTATAGAAATGGATTTAAAAAAAAAAAAAAATCAAAAATATGCCTGGTAGGCCTCAGGGAGACCAGGGAAACTTTCCGTGTAACTGGCAGGGAGTTATGCTCTCTTTGTTAGGCTGGGTTTTTTTAAGTATGCAAAAAGCTAGCATCACCTTATCGAGTTAAAATTCAAGTTTGACCAAGAGTTATTCCAAGATAGTGGTTGGATATCCTTAACACTTTCTGCAGGCTTGGCACCGCCGACTTCCATTTCGAACCGCAACTCCCCCCCACGTTCACAGTACTCGTAACAGAGTTTTTCATGGTACTTTTTCACGGAGGGTCTTCGTGGTGTGGAGGTGCCAGAGGTGTTTCCTCTGTGTGTCAGCGGCACTGCTGTCCTTTCGTGAGCTGACTCACGCTTTGGAACTCGCAGCGAAGGCACGCTGAGACCGGGGAGGTTTTCCCAACCTGCCGTGCAGGTTTATCACCAGGGGCTTGGCTGGAGCTTGTCAGTCTGACACTCAGCACGACGCCAAGAGCCGTGTTCTCCTGCAGGCTCGCTGGTTGTCAAATAACAGGGCGATTGTGCCGGGATAACACAGGGTGCCGGGGGCCCCCCTCGCGCGGGCCTTGTCCGCTGGCAAATCCGGGGCTATTCTTCCCTGTTGCTATGGCCGGTGACAGATAGAGCTACATGGGGGGGAAAGGAAAATCAAGGGGAGCCATTGTCTTCCCTCGTTATGGGGAACATTATAAAAAGACTGTCTTGTGAGGCGAGTCACTGAATTAATACAACTCGGTTTTGACAGCAATTGTTATTTTCAGCGCCGCTGTTTTCTCTCTCCCTGATCCGCTTCTTCCTTTCTGAAAAGACTTTATAAACCCCTCTGGTGGTTGAATAAGGTCATCCCGAATCTTTAAAAAGGGTTTAAAAATGGGAGTTGGGCTAGAAAATATCTTCAGTTCCAAAAAAACTCTGCTTGGTAAGTTCTCTCTAAAAGGAAATTACAGCATAGTTGCAGGTACTTCAGCTTACATCTCCAAGGAAAAAAATTAAAGATAGTTCTGGTGGGCGTGCCATCTGGTGACATGCCCGTGTTATCCTCTGCTGGCAAAACTTACATAAAAAAGAAGCTAGATGAAAACCAATTTTTTTATGGAAGAGTTTTTATTATTGAAGTTGTCTCTTAAAAAAAATTTTAAAAATTCATCTTTATGTTAGTGAATCCCTCTCAGAAGATTCCAGCACAGTTTTTCTTAAAAATGAGGTTTAAGTAGTTGTTGCCTGATGAGTCTGGGAGCTGCTGGAAGCAGCAAGTGATGGTGAGGGCTGTTGTTGGGGGCACATATGTTTGTGAGTGAAGGCCAAGTTAACTTGTAAACCAAACTGGGGGCAAAATGAGTTCTCCCTTGTCTGGCTTGTTCTGCAGCACAGTGGAGCCTGGCAGCTGCTTCTCATGCTGCACACGGGTTAATTTTTTTTTTTTAATTAAATTAAAATCACACTTTGTTTGTAAATACATGTGCAGGAGATACAGTGAGATGTTACTTTTTTCCCCCCTTACCTCTCTTGCAGAATAATCCCAAAATCTGAGCTGATGCGTTTGTTTCCAGATTGACAAGGGGTGCGGCCTTCCCGATTCTCCAGGCTGCTCCTGCTCTTGGAGAGCATCAGGGCTGTTTGTTGTTGTCCCTTCCTCAGCTTCCCGAGATACTGAGTTGTCTGGGAAGTAGAGCAGACATCCAGATAATTTATCTCCCTGTGTTTTAATGCACTGCTTTGCTTCACTTTTAGCTTCATGAGTGTAATACTGCTGTAAGAACTGGGAAAGGGCTCTCCACATGGGACTGTGTTCCCATAAAATCACTTTTAAATGTTCTTAGATACTGCCTTCTCAGATAGAAACATTTGGAATGAGGAAAATAAAGTAAGGCATAGGAAGAAAGGCATTGTTCAGTGTGAAAGTTGTGTTTACTACAACGCTGTGATGTCCGGTCTTAATTGCTTCCTAATTGTTTGCTTTAATGTCTCGATTGTTTTCCCTTGTTTGTCCTTCCCTCTCTGTGTTTGCAGTGTAAGTGAACCTATGCCATGAGCTGTTCACAGGGAGTCGTGGTGGAAGGAGGATCGTTTTCAGGAGAGGGTTTGTGTGCTGGAAAGTGGCTTTTTCATTTTTTGTCAGTTTTTCATTTTTTATCAGTTACCTTCGGCACCTTTTCATTTTCAGACAGGGTTTTGGGTTTGGATTTAGGACCCCTTCGTGGCAACAGCCCAGGGGTCACAGTTCCATCTCGTGCTGTCCTGAGAGATGCACAGTCTGGTTTTATCCTGTTTGAAAAAGGACAAAGTATTAGGAGTGCTTGTCCACCGAGGGGCGGCTGGAGGGATGCAGAAAGGCTGGCAGAATGAAGCCGCCTGTTTTCCTTAGGGGAGTGAATGGCTGCATTAAATTGGGCCACTTCAAGTCTTCCCTCCTAAGCAGTAAGGCAGATCTTGCTGCCAGAGCCATCAATAAGCCTTTGACCCACCAATCAACCCAAACCTCAGGATATGCTTTGCGATGCTTTTGGCATTTGTAAACTGAGCCACTTCCCATTAGAGCTGAGCTACAATGAATTTGCTGTTTGGGTTTTGTCCTTTTTGTTTTTGTTTTTTTTTCTTAAATTTAAAATACACAAAGGGCGAGATGGTGGGTTATAAACTCAGCTGCTGTAAAATCTGTTTTCAGCTACAACGGGACTTGGAAAAACGTAGATTTCATGACATGGGATTATCAGGATCCAGTGCTTTGCTTTGTCTTTTTTTAAAAGTGGCATTTCCTTCCCTTTTGCTTTCCCGGCACCTCTGTGGCATTAATGTGATGTTGGCTGGCAGGGTTGTGACCTCACCTGAACGCCACGGGAGGGAGGCTGTGGTGGGTACCCTTGTGCTGCTGTGAAGGACCTTGCTCTGCTGCAGGAGTGCAGAGGTGACTGATGTTGAAAGCATTCGGGGGGGGAAAAAGTGGGGAAAAGTCCTTTGTGAAGTCTCTACAAAACACGTAAGGACAAGAAAATTGTTCTTCTCCAAGCGCTGAGGAAGACATCTGTTGTGTTTACCTCTTCTGGGAGGAAATACACTGAATTTTAAAACTGAGCAGGGTGCTATAAAGTCCCCTCCAGAGTTGTATCCTGAGCAGCTTATCCCAAAGCCACGTGCGTGCAGCTTTTCTGGATCAGTTTAAAGCAGCTCATAAACAAGTAACCACAAAGTTAATTTTATGATTCCTCTAATAAATTTCCCAGGGCCAGCGTGGTGGTTAAGTCTGCATGTGGATCTCTCAGATGCTTTCCCGGGGCGCTGCTGCTCGGGTCAGTGTTTTGGGGAGGGGATTGGAAAGAAGGGAATGGGAGCTGAGGGTTTGCAGGTCATATTTGTTTGAAATAACTTGTAATGTCTCAGTTGGCTGGGTAGGCGTGTGCCTTCCAGGGCCTGACACCCTGTTCTGTGTGATGTGTGGTGCATCCCAGGCGTGTTCCCTTTCATTCAGGGCTTTGCTTCCCAATTCAAATCCGTAGCCTGAGTCAGCAGACAGTCGTTTCACGTGGATGAGATGGGAGTTTTGTGTGCCAGCCCTCCCGCTGTGGATTCATGAGGG